CACAAATGGAGCTCTTTTCTTTGTTGCGTTGGTATAGACTATAGAAAATGTCTACTGATGATTTTTTAATTAGTACGGTGACTTTTCATGTGTCTGGAGAATTTCTTCAAATGTTAGTCTCCAAATAACTAAATGTTTGGAGAACTTACCCTTTCACTCAATTAGAACAATAGAATGTATCAAAACAAAAATATCACGGATTTAATTTGAGAATGCATAGCAAAAACAGTTTGAAGTGTATGAGTTTGAAACCAATCTGAAATTTTAAAGTGCTAACGCCATAAAAATCAGTATAGAGAAGCTTTACCTCTTCAACTTGAACAAAACTCTCTTCCAATCCTGTTCCCCTTCATTATCTCACCTGTTTAAACCATATATGCATATTCTCACAGCAATTTATAAAGAAAAGCAATTTGCTATTCAAACTTGTTTCTTACTCTTCAATTCTCTTTTTCTCTTAGATATAACTTTTCCATTTTATAAATGAATCCTTGTGAGAAAATTGTTAATCAAGGAACTCTTGTGGTATTAAACCTGGCTTCATCAGTTTCCAAAATAGCTCTCGAAAAAATTGTTGATATTAGTTTCGTTTATGCAGGATCATTGCTTATACGGACCATGGTGATGGAACGATGGGTCCCGGAACTCCCTTCAGATTTCCTCTCCTCCTTTCTAGTCTGGATCAGAATCCGAAACATCCCAGCAAACCACTACACCATTGAGACGATGGACAGGCTGGGATCGGCGATAGGGGAACTCAAGGAGATCGCATACGGCCTGAAAGTATCACAAAAAACGGAATACGTTAAGAGTTTTGGTGGATCTCAAAATAGATAACCCTGCACGCAAGTCAAAGAAGCTCAACCTTCCTCGTGGTGGTTCCGTAGACATTGAGTACGAATATGAGAAGCTCCGGAAACGTTGTTTCTCGATGCCCTTGGCTTCGTAGCTTAAACCAGAGGCCCAGGGGAAATGGAACCTCTTTGGTTTTGGCTCAATCTTCTCCGGTTAACTCTGGGGCTGGGGCTGGGGCTGATGCAGAGATAAACAAAGCTCTTGCTTTGACAGTTCCACCGATTATGCCAGGCTACACCAAAGAAATGCGTAATGCAGATCTTCTATATGTCTCACATTCGGATCCAACGGAGAGACAAGCACGCATCCTAAGGGTACAACAATCCATCAAAGAGAAATCTGGTTAATCCACACCCAATCTGCCTAAGATCACCACCAACTTGGACAAAGGCAAAGGTCATATCTTTGAGTTTGAAACAGAATACAACAAACGAAAGAGAGAGAATAACAGAGTGGGTAAATCTACCATCTCCGACCCAATTCCAGAACTGGGCAACTTGTATGATGTTGAGGTTTCGTCCACTTTAAGTTTCAATGGCCCTAAGACAACAAAGAGTCCGATGGATTTTCGTCTCGGTGTCTCGTCCCGCGAACCTCGATCTTGAAGCTCTTCTACAGCAAAAAGGACCGTCATGGAACCTGGAGCAACAGTCTTACCGGCTCAATTAAAAGTTCCAGATA